TTGTCTGGAAACCCTGCTTTGGGAAGAAGTCTGAAACTCATTTTATTTCTCCCTTTGATTACCAGAAAGCAGATTATATCTCATCCTGAGAGCTGGCAGCGAGTCCCTGCCTGCTTGGTTTTGCTTTGTCAGACTGGCTTCCTTGTATATGATAAGCTTTCAATAAATGTTCATAGAGTGRATGAATGAAATCTGCCTCAGAAAAATGAGCGCTTAAACTGTCCCAGTGAGGTGACCTTTGATTTTTTTTTTTAAATAATTCATCCCTCACCCATCTCCATTAGTTATTTGATACTTGCTCTAATAACTTTATCTAGTGATTTTTTTTTTTTTAACCCAGGGCACTTAACCACTGAACCACATCCCCAGCCCACTTTTGTATTTCATTTAGAGACAGGGTCTTGCTGAGTTGCTTAGGGCCTTCTAAGTTGCTGAGGCTGGCTTTGAACTTGGGATCCTCCTTCCTCAGCCTCTGAGCCACTGGGATTRCAGGTATTCACCACTACACTGGGCCTCCAATGATTTTTTTTAAAGTTTACTTTATCGTAAACTTTCTCATTTGCATTTAATCCTTCCTATTTTATTTAAGGTACTTATTAAACTCTTTGGCACTCCTGCTCACTGACTTCATTCTAGTTCTGGACCTTGTAATCTAAACTATTACAATGAGCTTTTTCTGCCTCTTTACTTGCTTTTCCTCCAATSTATCTTAATATCTTGAAAAATTAATCTTTTTAAAACAGTGCAGTGTCATGGTGTCATCTTCTAGAACTACTAAATAAACCCAGCTCTTGTGTGGGTTCTTCTGTGACCTGGGCTGGGCTGGGCTGATGGACCTGCCTGCTTTGTAGGGGACAGTGCAATAGACAACCATGGCCTCTCTGGCCTGCCCACAGTCCCCTATGCTCACTCTGTGTACAGCTCATGGCCTTGCTCAACCTTGCCTTCTCTTCAAGATATTTAACTGTTCCTACCTTCTCCCTCAGCAAAAGAAAACAAACATTTAGTTTGTTCAAGGTTTTAGTCAAAATTCTTGATTTATTAGAATATTCTGTTTGAAAGTATCATTCCTTACATGTTTATATTGCTGTAGATCTTATTTTATATCAAACACAGTCACATATGGCCTTGTGTTAGAGTTCAKTGGCGTATATGTCATGTATCTCCCCATAGGATATCACAATAAGTAATGTGTTTGTATCTTTCATATGGTGGGTATTCAATACATATTTGTTGAATGTTATTTCTGTAGTTGGATTGCTTCATTGATGTAAAAATCAGGTGGGAAATAACAAATGTTGAGTATTTTTTCCTTTTGTTTTAGAATTTTGGGAGCTATTATAGATGATAATAAAGGGTTTCATTATTTTGTTTTTGTCCATTAATATAGTCATTCTTTTTCTCTAAAAGTATATGAACCAGATGCCTTTGACACAACAGTCACTCTAAACACTATGTTTATGCATGTGTGTTCACTAAGTAAGGCTGTGTGTGTGTGTGTGTGCGTGCCTGCGTGTGTTTGCTACACTTGCACACATGTGCATGCTGTTGGAGCTCTTGCCGTGCCTACAGCAGTGGTGACCTAGCTGTATGCTACAGCAGTGTTTGCAGAGKAAGAGATGGTTGGGCTCAGTTTTGAAATGAAGGGAGGGAATGCTAGTTTAGAGTAAGCATCAAAACGTTTTAAAACTGAACTTTTTTAGGAGATTTTTTTTCAAATATATACAAACATATGAAAAAGTTGGTAGAATTGTATAATGAATCCTCATATGACTGTTGCTCAACTTTAATCATTACCAGCACCTAGCTTTACTGTGCCTCCTCCTGGACTGTTTCAAAGTTTATCTCAGACATTTCCCATTTCATCTTTAAATACTTGKATATTAGACATTTCTTTTGTTTTAATGAGACATTTGTTCCATTTTAGTACCTTACAGGTGTTTGGAATTGTTCTAGGCTCTTTGGATATAATAAACCTTGGGTTACATTTTAGACTSGAGAGACAGAAAACATGTTACTAGACAAATAACTACAGCAGGCAAAGCATTGATGTCATCAAAATTTAAAACTTCTCTTTATCAAAGATATCATTTATAAAATGAAAAGGCAGAAAATATTTGTAAAACACATTCTGGCAGAGGATTTATGTCTAGAACATATAAGCAACTCCTAGAGCTCAATAAGAAAAATAAACGACTGAATTAAGAAATGGGCAAAAGGCTAACAAAGCACAAAGTATTCAGTACCATCACTAGTCATCAGGGAAATGCAGAATAAAACCACACACATTCATAGAAAGACTACAATTTAAAAGACCGTCATTAAATGTTGGTGAAGACATGGGTCATACATTGTGGATAGCTATGCAAAGTAGTACAACCACTCTGAAGATCAGTCAAACAGTTTCTCATAAAGTTAAACATGTGTCTACCTAACAGACCAATAATACTATAGCTGGATGTTTTCATAAAGAAATTAAAATATATGTTTTTAAAAAGACAAGTATAAGAATACTTATAACATTTTTATTAAATAGCAACAAAAAGAAACTGGCTTAGATTTCCATAACAGAGTTGTTCTGTTTGATGCATTGCTACTGAGTAGTGAGATAAAACATAGTATTGACACATGCAAGAAAAGTATCACAYTGAGCAAAGTAAACCAGAATCCCCCACCCTAAAGCTTCTTATATGATTCTTTGCATTTGGTTGGAAATATTAGGGTACTGGAAGAAACCAAACACATACTTAAAAGTTACTTGGCAAGGCAGATTCTGCTTCTGCAGAAGGATGTGCTACCAAAATCTGGCAGGCAAGCCCACTGCCCAGGTTTTTATTWCTAAGGCAGCACTGCCTCTTGCTTTGATAGGAGAAGTTTGGGGTTACAATCTATGTGACTGAGTAATTTAAAACTGGGTAGGGCAAGAGGAAGGGCTACAGTTATGCCTGGCTATACCATAGCCATTACGATTGGAAGACTGAAGACAAGGGAGTTATGTTGGGAGCTCGGATGGCTACATTTCAACCAAATGGTTTAGATTACAGCAAACATATTTTTGTTACATATTATGAAACTCAAACTTCAGGTTTAACTTTGACAGAAAGAGAACGTTAATCCTACAACATCAACTTCTAGAACAGGCAAAGCCCATCCATTTCAAGAGGATTCTGGAACATGGGGAATGAAGGGTGTGTTTCYAGGGACTGACTGTGAAGGGGCAAGAGACCTCTTTTAGGGCAGGTGCAGAGCTGTGTCTCTGGACAGGAATACTTGGGAAGCATCATCTGGGCTTCTCTTTCTCTGCATCTYCCCTTTCCTTTACTCTGTCCCTCAGCTCAGATCCCTGCCCCTGTGCTGTGGCCTGGGTACCTACTGTATGCAGTAAGCTGGGACGCAATGGGGTTGTTCTCATCTCTCAGGGATCACTGTCCTTTGGTGCCTCATGTCTATTGTCTTTTACTGTTGTTTCATAGATTTTGTGTGTGTGTGTGTGTGTGTGTGTGTGTTTTGTTTAAGTTGTTTCAAATATAAATCTCTCTCATAACTCCATCTTGGCCAGAAGTAGCTGTCCTGGATTGGACAATGTATCTATTTTTTAAAAATATTCTTATTACTTATATTGTAAGCATCAGGAGGCCAGAGTAGTGTTTATTGTATGTCCAGCATCTGTAACCAAGAATATTTGCCATATTGTAGGCACTAGCGAATGTTTTGGAATGAATACATGGTGCTGCTTTTCCCACTTTATTTTCTCCCTTCATTCTCTTCCATTGCAGCTATTGAAACCAAAACCCATGCTTTAGAGAATTTTCTAAAGGGTTATTTGCAACACTGTTTTCTCTTAGATTTTTATAAACTAAGAGGTCTGTCATGAAATAAGTTGTGAAATGCTTATGTACCAAGAAATCCTGTGATAAAGAGAAGTTTAAATTTAAATTAAAATTTCTAAACTTATTTGATCAAGTATTAATGAAACCAAATTTACCTATATTTTTCTTTTGTTCTTTTGGTGCCATATCTAATAATACTGGTTTTTATTTCCTTAGTAGAGTCAAAGCAGCAGACTTCATTTTATTTGTCATTGTTATGGATAAAATAGTTAAAATAATTAGAAATAGTTTTGAGGCTATAATATAATAATGACTTTTTATTAATGTCAAATCAAATGGCATTTGACTGAAAATTATAATCATAGGATAAAGTAAATGGAAAATGATAATTTAATTGAATTAAATATCATAATAAAAATGAAGTCAATAATATTGATTTTAAAACATTTTATTCAATACAGTTCTTTTTTTCCCACTTAAAACTTATTCCATTAATTCTGTGTCATTGGCATTTCCGTTTTCCATGCATCTTAGACAACCCAAAAAATGAGTGTGAGATAAGGAAATTAAAGACTGACTTGGGAATAGTAGTGACTTCTTATTGGAAAAAGAACTTGAGCATGAGTGGTGATATGTGAAGAGTGTGTACACCCCTTAGTGGGAATCTGTTTAGAAATATCGTAGTAAGGCTTTCTGCTTCAGGGAAAAGGCTTGAAGCAGTTACTTTTATACTAGGACTTGGGCTTCTTAGGAATGCRGGGAAAGCCTAACTTGTAGTCTTCAATCATATCAGTTTTGTTTTCAGAGTGGGGAGTCACTGAAATGTAATTTGGAAAGAGGGCTTCTCTGATTTAAAAATAAAAAGTAGTAGTCAATTGAAATTTGGTCTAGAGAATTGAAATATTAGAGTGTTTTGGCAGGCTGGTTGAAAATGTTGCTTTTTTTCTCAAGGATACCATACTATAGTATTCTGAGTCAATGATGTGGTTTTGGTGGTGTTCCACAAATCTGATGACATGCTTTTCTAAGAACTTCATACATGTGACCAGGTTCATCTAAGTATAAAGGAAATTTCAATGAGGCTAATATTATATTTTTTCATCCACTTTGATTAATATATGCATTTTTTCTGTGTTCAAAAACTTAACACCACTTTTATTTATTTTACAGGTTATGAGTGCTGGTTAAGCCACCTTTGACCTGGGAAACATCATCAGCACTTTATTAATGATGGATTCTGAGAAACCTGAGAATGATGAGGATGACAATACAAACAAGAAGACAAAAGACTTGAGAAGTATTTTATCCCATGATGACGACTGTGGGCCTGTATCTGATGTGATAACAAATTCCTCTGAKAATTTCATAAGCAAAAGAGGTTTTTCAGAATCATCCAGCTCTGACAGTGTCTTTGTGGAGGAAGATGGAAATAAACATGCTTCCAAACGAATGAGAGTAGAGGAGGCAGAGCCCCTTGAGTCTGGAAAGCAGGGCACTTGTGGGTTGGATATTCCCCAGAGCTTGGCCACAGAAGCAAGAGTCCTGTTRGATGAGGGAGGAAAGGAGGCCTTTCTGAAGGGCTTCTCAGATGGAGGAGGCACGACTCTTCCAAATGTCTTCTCCTCTTCTTGCTGTCTTAGCACTGTTGATGCTATTTCTTTGAATACAGACCCTGAAAGGAAGTCTGCTCAGGAAATGGTTTCTCTTGATCCACAAAGAGAATCTCCTTCCCCCTTGAAAGAAAAGAGTGTTAGTTGCACCATTCGAAATGTAGATTCAGTTCTCAGGTGCAGTGCATGTGGTCATTTGTTTTCTTCTTGCTCTGATTTAGAAAAACACGTTGAATGCCATGAGCAACAGGCTAAGGAACATATCTGCTGCCACTGTAGCCACAAAGCAGAGAGCAGCTCAGCTCTCCACGTGCATGTCAAACACACACATGGGCCACAGAAAGTCTTTTCTTGTGATCTTTGTGGTTTTCAGTGTGTGGAAGAAAACCTATTGACAGCACACTATCTTGGCAAAACACATCTCCGGCGTCAGAATCTAGCTGCTCGTGGAGGATTTGTACAGATCTTAACAAAACAACCTTTTCCTAAAAAAACATGTTCCATGGGAACAAAGAATGTTCGAGCAAAACCAAAAGCTTCTAAACCAACAGCAAAGAATAGGGATTCAAAAGGATTACAAAATAATGGGAGCAAACTTAAAGACTGCAGAGGAAGCATTTCTCAACACAGTGGGAGTAGCAGTGAGCTTCTTGTTGAAATGATGCCATCTAGAAATACTTTGTCAGAAAAAGCAGAGATTGTTGAAGAAAATGTTACTTCCCTTGATATAGCTCAAAGTCATGAAAACCAGAGCAAAAAGCCAGGAGATGCAGTAACTTCAGAAGGTCTCTTAGATAATTCAGAGTCTACCAGAAATATCCTGCATATGGCACATAGTATCAGTACCACTTCAAGACCAAGACCTGAGCGAAATATTCTAATGTCGGSTAATAGTTTTCGACGACGAAGTGGCAATTTTACCTTGAAAGGCCAGGCAAAGAAAAGGTTTAATGTTTTAGGGATTAATAAAAGAGGCACAAATGAAACTCAGAGGATGTATATGAAACACTTTAGAACACAGATGAAAACAAGTGAAGCAGAGCCAGTGCCTAAACAACTAGGAAAGAACAGTGATGCCCAGAGTGTGTGTGTGATGGCCTCAGACACCATGGAGGACAGGACGAGCCCCAGTCATCCTGGTTCCACGCAGCTGGACTCCCCAATGGTGAACCCAGCTCTTGACCATCAGATGTTGTATACATGTACAAACTGTGGTCAAGTAGCTACAAATAGGACAGATTTGGAAATCCATGTGAAAAGTTGCCATGCAAGAGAGATGAAATTTTACTGCCAGACTTGTGACTTTTCCAGTACATTGAGGAGGGACTTGGAGGAACATTTGCACAATAACCAGCATCAGCAAATCACTTCGGTTCTCAATTGTCAGTGTTGTTCTTTCATTTCCTTGAATGAAATAAACCTTAGAGACCACATGAAGGAAAAGCATGGGATGAGTTTTCTTTGCACTTCTTGTAATCTGTTTTTGTCTGAGAAAGACATGGAAGAACACAGAGCAACAGAGAAGCATATTAGATTATTGGTTCAGCCAAAGACTTGTCCATCATTGAACAATGATTTGGTTTTACAGAACTTACCTTTAAGTACTTTAGAATCAGAAAACACAAAAGAGTCTGTGAAAGAATCAGGGAAAGCAACTCAGGAAGAACCTGTTAAGTCCAGGGTAAGCCATGGAAATGAGGTAAGGCATTCAAGTAAACCTCAGTTTCAATGTAAGAAGTGTTTTTATAAAACAAGATCTTCCACTGTTCTCACAAGACACATAAAGCTTCGGCATGGTCAGGACTATCATTTTCTCTGTAAAGCATGCAATCTTTATTCATTGAGCAAAGAAGGAATGGAGAAACACATTAAAAGAAGCAAGCATCTTGAAAATGCTAAGAAAAATAATATTGGCTTAAGCTTTGAAGAATGCATTGAAAGGGTATGTATTGGTGCAAATGATAGGAAAGAAGAGCTTAACATTTCTGGAAATGGGAAGACTGAAGGCCATGGAGGTGTGCAATTTCAGGAACATTCCTGTCTTGAGAAGAAAATGTTAACTACTACAGAGCTCTCACGGTCTGGTGTTGTCACCAAAGATGACGAATTAACCTTAAGTGCTCCAAAGAGAGGGAGACCCAAAGGCAGCATCTCACGGACATGTTCACATTGTGGTCTTTTGGCCTCTAGTATTACAAATTTGACTGTTCACATTAGACGCAAACACAGTCACCAGTACAGTTATTTGTGCAAAGTGTGTAAGTATTATACTGTAACCAAGGGAGACATGGAACGTCATTGTGCCACCAAGAAACATAAGGGACGGGTAGAGATAGAAGCAAATGGGAAACAAAATTCAGATATTATTGTTGGCCCTGAAGGTAATCTTGAAGCCTGTAAAAAGAACACTCACTTAGCATTAACTATTTCAGATGAACACACCAACAAGTCAACTGAGTCAGATACTTCCATTTTAGAAAAGCCAATAGTAGAACAAGGAAATCCAATTGAAGTTGAAGTTGAAAATGTATTTCATTCTATAGATGGAGAAGTTAACCGTCCTCTTACTGATAAAAAGGAGCAAATATCTCTAGATCCAGAGGACCTTCTCAAACAGGGGGATGCGTATTCCCAGAGAGAGATTACAGGTACAAATGATAATAAGTGTCTACACTGTGAGTTTATCGCTCACTCTCCTGCTTCTCTAGAGCTGCATGTGAAACGGAAACATACAAAAGAGTTTGAATTTTATTGCATGGCCTGCGATTACTATGCAGTGACTCGTCGAGAAATGACTAGGCATGCAGCAACTGAGAAGCACAAAATGAAAAGGCAGTCTTACCTCAGCTCTTCGAAGGTAGAAGGAGATTCTGCAGAAATGTCCAAAAACATCATCATACCTGAAGAGGAGCATCCTCAAAACTCTGAGGACTTTCAGATAATTTCAGGCCAACCTTCTGATTCTCTTAAATCTGGAAATGCTGTTGATTGTTCTATTTTAGATGAAACGGCTAGTTTAGATATGTCTAAAGTACTCTGTGCTCCCAGCTCTGTAGAAATTGAGACTGAGGAAGAAGAATCTAATTTCAGTGAAGACCGTTCCTTTGGTGAGACTTTCCAGCAGCCTCCTGTCAAGGATAAAGGTATGAAACCTGAGGACATGGAGTCCCTCAACATTTCCTCCAGTTATGGCTCTCCAAGTAGATTTCAAAATGAAAATTCAGGAAGCTCAGCTTTGAATTGTGAGACAGCAAAGAAAAACCATGATATGTTGAATGACATCAGTGACTCCCATACACATTGTGAGAGTGATGGAGGAAGCACAGGAGATAGTGGTAGTAAAGTCTGTGATAAACACGTGTGTCCCCGTGTCCTAGATGGGGGCCATTCAGCTGAAAGCCATCCCCCTGTGATGATGAGAGTGACAAGAGAGCAGCTAAACCTGGATCATGGTGTTAAGAACAAAGTTGGGTGTGTGCCAGCAAATACTGTTCTGGAGAATAAGGAAATTCTGATGAATCCACAACATGAAGCTGAAATTATTTTGGAAGAGGATGGCCCCACTTCTGATAGCACACTTGAGAGTAATGATGTTTATGAAACTATAATCAGTATTGATGATAAAGGGCAGGCCATGTACAGTTTTGGCCGTTTTGATTCTTCCATAATTAGAATAAAGAACCCTGAAGATGGTGAATTGATAGACCAGTCGGAAGAGGGTATGATGACAGCGGGGGTGAGAATCACTGAGTTGCCCTTGAAAGACTGTGTTCAAAGCTTGAAAAAGAGGAAAGCTGAAGGTGGTTCCTTTAGTGAGTCTACACGAATCCGCTGTGATGATTGTGGCTTCTTAGCAGATGGACTGAGTGGACTGAATGTTCACATAGCTATGAAGCATCCCACAAAAGAGAAACACTTCCATTGTTTACTCTGTGGAAAGTCATTCTATACAGAAAGCAACCTTCATCAGCATTTGGCTAGTGCTGGTCATATGAGAAATGAACAGGCCAGTGTAGAAGAGCTTCCAGAAGGAGGGGCCACCTTTAAATGTGTCAAGTGTACTGAGCCCTTTGATTCTGAACAGAACTTATTTCTGCATATTAAAGGACAGCATGAGGAATTGCTTCGCGAGGTGAATAAGTACATAGTGGAAGACACTGAGCAAATCAACCGTGAGAGAGAGGAAAACCAGGGAAACATTTGCAAGTACTGTGGGAAGATGTGTCGAAGCAGCAATTCCATGGCCTTTCTGGCACACATTCGCACTCATACAGGTATGTCCACTGCAGGAAGCCCCTTTCCTATACAGTGTAAATGGATGGTGGAGGTCAGCTGTTCCTTCCCATCCAAGTAGGAAGCCTGCCTGCATTTGCTTGTTGGCCTTCCATCTATTCTCTGCTGTGTGTGGTGTTCTAGGCTTCTGTTAAGAGTCACTGTGGACACTTAGCATTTCTAAAGGTAATTAAGCTTTAGTGATTTCAAAGGCTRATTAGTTGACAAATTTCTTTCAGTTTTGTCAAAAAATCTAGTCCCTCGTATGCCTTTGTCAAACTCCTCTTTTATAATGCTTTTTTGGTTGCTTAAAGTCCTAATTATTTGTTTTTCCAAAGTATATATTGAGTCACATTTTGTGTTTTCAGAACACATATTAAGTGGCTTTTATCACAATTTTAGGGATTAAATAATATTTATTGCCAGATATTTTGTATCCAAAAGTATAACTCTAGGCAACAAAATTAACTTCAAGGATCGAAATCAGTAATACTTTTCAGTTAATATGTACTGGGGATTTGGTTTTTGTGGAAGTAGTACCTGATTTAGTTTCTGTRCTCTATGTCATATTTAGTGTTCCATGTTAATATTTAATTTTAGGCAGAAATTTAAAAAAACATTTTTGGTGGAAAATGCATAAGCTGCTATTCTAAATTTATGTAAAAATTCACTGCACTGTTTCTATAAACCTGCCATACATTCTTTATTTTAAATAGACAGCTTTTCTAAATCATTGTGCTCTGCTTAGACAAGATCTGTCTCCATGGTTGAATTTATGAGTGGATTTGAATAATAAATTCACATTTCAATGAACATATTTTCATTAAAATTGTAAGGTTTATTTTACTGTACTTTTAAATAATGGCTTATTATTAAAGCTATACTTTAAATTCATGCAGTTGTTGAAACTTAGTGCATGGTTACAAGGAGAAAGATAAGAAAGTATGGAGCATTATTACTAATATAATGTGATTAAAGAGATAAAAGTTTCCTAGTGAAGAAAGTAGAAGGACAACCTGCATAAGATTAGGTAAACATAAACATTTTACTCTTGATCTCCAGTATTCATGTGCAGTAGATCCATTTTTTGGAATAAGTTTAAAAGCTTATTTGTTTACATTATTAGTACCTCTGTCAGTATCTTGTTGCAGCCCACTTTCTGAAATGATATGATTTTAGAAATCAGGCTTGTTCATATGCACAGAAAATATGTATTTTCTTAATATGCTCTCTTAAGGCAGATGAAGCTGAATAAAACGAAGAGGAAGATGCTAATGGAGCTCTTTTTAGAATTCTTTATGCAACTGTCTGTTCAGGACATGTTGCTTATAATTGATGTGTCCATTACTTGAATTCTCTTGTAATTATAGTCAATAAGTCTTGTAAATGTGTTAAAGCTCACTAAAAGCATACAAATTCAAGAACAGAGTAAGGCTAATAATTTAAAATAATCAATGTAGGCATTTCAGCACTTAATTTCCCTTGTGTGTTGATAGCTGATCATTCTTAATCCATTAAGATTTATTTAGTCGTTTACAATGCAAAATAGGTTTGCACTGGTCACTTGTGCCATTTGAAAATGTCCACCAGGTTAAGTGCAGAATGTAGTCCATTAGTCTTCCTTGACTATATGTATTAATTGCATTTAAAATCAAGTTAATGTGGATGTGAAAGTGAGGTAACTATCAATATGTGACAAAGTAACCCTACTTATATAAGTTACATCATTGATTGTAACATTTAGTAAAAGTTAGCATACTTGTTTAAAAAACATCTTGTGGTGTTCTTATTAGCAAGTACATTTTTACTGTTCTTTGAAGCACAACAGACAGCATCCTTCCTAAGTATACATTGCCAGTTCACCATTTAAATTTTACAGGTCCGTTTTTGGCAAAATCAGTCTTCAGGTCTTAAYTCAGGTCCTCCCCTCCCCCTCAAAACATCTTAAAATGAATTGCTTTTTGGATACTTTGCTTATGTCCATGAAATTGTAATGCAGGAACTGCTATTAATGATTAACTGGAAAAGGGCTTACTCTTCCATCCTCTGTTTTCATATTTTATGATTTACTATATATTCTATATAACCTTTCTTCCTGTCCTTAAGCATGATAAAAGCACCACTATAAGAAGTAACTGAGTTTTGGTTATCGAGAATTGTAGGAAAAAAGCATCCTAGGGTTTTCTCATGCATCCACTGGTGTGGAGTAGTCAGCATGGCCAGTGAGAGCAGTCTTTGTCTCATGTTGGTAGGACTGATGAAGCTGTTCATTTTGTCTGCTGCATTATTCTATTAAGAGCTTTTATTTCATGTGACATGAAAGATACCCTTTTATTGCAACAAGATTGTCCGAAATCATTCTATTTCTGTTCAGACTGCTCTGGTCACTTGGGCTGTTTGATAATGTTCATAAGTAGAACATAGTGGGTGTGTGACTTCATTGAAAACTCTGAAGATGGGGCTGGTAGTATTGCAACTCAGTGTGTAATGCTTCAGAGCAGGAATGGGCCACTCAGTTAATTTGTAGGCATTGAGCACAGACAGCAGGGATTCTTCTTCAGTGCTTCCTCTGTGTGCCCACATGTAGTTGCKTCCTCAGGTGAGTTAGTGAATGAAGAGATGAATAAATGAATGAAGTATTCAGATGTTTAGGGAAGATTGCATTATTTAGGCTATAGTTGGGAAACATTATGTGGTATATATTTTAATCCATAACTTCTTGTTCTTTTAAGACATGAAGGTTTTTGTTTGTCTTTTCCTGTGATTGCTTACTATCACGTCCTTATATGCACAGCAATTAGTAATGCAGGTAAGGAATGCCTTGTGGGTCTGAGTGCAGACTGAATTTTTCAAGTCTTTGGAATTCTTCTGGTAAAAATCATAAGGCCCTGGAGTTTTAGAGAACTTCTTTAGTTTATCCCTTTCAAAAACCTACACAGGCCAAATTAAAAACAAAAGCAACAAACAAACAAAAAACCCCATTCAAACCTGAGGATCATGTCAGTCCTGGAAATGGAATTATATATAATGAAAGCTTATATAAAAACATATATAAGGTGTGTATGCRCATTATATATAAGGTGTGTATCAACACACACACACACATAAAATATAATGTATTTATCTAAAATGGAAGCTTATAATAATATCCCTGAGAGAAAGACAAATTGGTTTTACAAATTTTGCTTTACAAATACTATGCCTGGATAATTTTGTAATGTGTATAGCAAACTTAAAAAATGGAAGTGTTATCAGATAGGAACAAAAGAGAAAAGGGACAGGTTTTCTTTTTTTTTTTTTTATATGCAAAGAACTGCTGCATTGACTGGTATTTGAATTTTAATGTGCAGAAAGGAGATGTTAACACAGCCTACTCTAAATGTAAGAATGGGAAGAGTCAAGGCCTCAGTGATTCTGGGTGAAGCAGTCAACATAGTAACTCATTAACGTGTGGCCAGCACTCTGCATCAGTGRTCACTGAATCTGCCAGCCAAGTTCCTCCCAGAGGAGCCACGCATAACGAACCGAAAAAACTGAAGACCCTTGTCTAAACCTTAGTGGCCCCTCTGCTATAGGAGAGGAACTAGTAACAGTTCAGGTGCTGTGTGAAGGAAGAAGCTGAAATTGAGACCCATCCATTTCCCAAAGTCCTCTTACAGAGATTGGGGAACATTACCTTCTTCCTTTGGAGTCCCAATACTCTTGTTCATTAATAATTTCCTAATTATCCTATTATCTTTAAAGCATTTCTTTTAAAGTTCAGGTTTATTGGTTCTTCTCACTCTTTTCAAGTCTCTTTCTAGAATTCTGTGCTTTCCTGTAGTGTTTCAAAGTAGTGAAAGGCTTACTTTTATCAGAATCATTTAAATAAACTGTAGTTTCTGATGTGATTGATAGAATGTGATTGCTGTAAGTTGCAATCTCAACCTGCTTTTGACATTTAAACATACAAACCTGACTAGATATAACCATTCAGGTGCTAAATATATTTTACATCTACTTCTATCTGTAGAAATGGAAGTATTAAGAGATCTGGCTTCATTGTCATTGAACTGTGAAATATTCAACCTTGTCTGCCCGTGCTTAGTTCTGTTGACTTTTTTATTTCTGTTGGAAGATTAAAATTAAACGCTTCACTTTTTTTGTCAGCTTTTGGGAATTAAATTGAAATTTAAGACACTGAAATTTTTTACTGAGTGAGTGTTTCAGTTTCAACAAAGTATTCTTGGTGGATTCCCCCCACCCCCTAGGGTACTGCACAAAGGTTCATTGATCATATTTGAAATTTCAAAAATTGGAACTTTTTGTGTGTTAAAGCACACACATATATCCTTTTTCTATCTAACTATAATTAGAAGAGGCATTTGAACAAAGAGGAACTAAATGTAATATGAAAAATCTGGAAACATACTGTTCTAATTTTAAACTATGGTTTTTATGATTTTGATTTATTTGAAGATGTCATAATTAGGAAACTGGAAAATATATATTTTCTACCTTAAAAGAGTGTTGTTTCTCTTTAATGTGAGTACTGATTAAATGTTAGCATGTTTTAGTTACATTCTTATCTATTAATGACAGTAATTTTGCTGACTTAAAAATCATTTTGTCCCCCTGCCCTCTTTATTTTTTAAGGTGGTACTTGGAATGGAAACCAGGACTTAGGTTGTGCTAGGGCAAGCATTCCTATTAGTGGACCACACCTAGCCCTCATTTTCTCACTTTTAAGTGTAGTTTAATCTTATTTCCTTATGAAATGATTAAAACATTTCATTGTTGTTATTATGCCTTCTGTGTTGCATCATTTGTTCTTGATGTCAGTAATAATGAAAATGTCAGTAATTCTAGTTTGCTGAATCATCACAGGTTTTTGACTAAAAATGATCATAAAAGCACAATAATTTATCCACTATTATTTATACATGTATGTTCATTCTACTAACATGGTAATATAGTAAATCATTTAAGATAAATGGCAGAAAAAAATCTAAAATGCCATTGTTAATATGAATAAATTCAAAGATGGAGAAATATGAGGAAACCAGATGGCTACTGACAAATGTCCTCATTGTTATAGTTTTAAAGGTATCAGTTATCCTGAATGTATTTGTATTTTTTAAATGTTTCATTTAAAATACTGAGTGCCTTTAAGAAATACTTTGTGAATGTAAGAAAACTGCTTAACTTTATTGAGCTGGCTTCATCAACTTAGAGTGGCTAACAGTATCACTTTCGACTTTAGATCTTAAAATTGTAATTGAAAGTTAGGAAGACTCATCATTGAACATTAAAGCCTCTGGGTAGAATAATTATGGAATCAGGTTTATTCAGTTTGTAAACTAATGCAGGTATTCCATTTTGAGGACAGAAATTCTTAATTAGATTAAAAGTCTGATTTAAAATTTAGCTTTCTTAAAACTATCAGTAAGGTATTATGCAAATCTGAATCATATTTTATGTTAAATTACTCAGGATCAAAACCATTCAAGTGCAAGATATGCCATTTTGCAACAGCTCAGCTTGGAGATGCCAGAAACCATGTGAAAAGGCACCTTGGGATGAGGGAATACAAGTGTCATGTCTGTGGGTGAGTAAATTGAAACCATCTCTGCTGTGTGAACCAGGAAGCCTTTGTAGGATATCCATTGTTTCAGAATTTAAAACTGATATGAGTAAGAGTGGCTAAAATTATGCATGCGTATCCTCCTTTCCATTGTTATGGTAAATTCCTTAAATACAGTTATGACATTCTTCTTCCACTTCTAATCCTGTACTTGAAGATGAGCAATTTTATGGGCTACAAGGTCAATTTGAACCTGTAATCTGTAAATTGACTAAATTATAGGATGTTCATTCACATTGCCAGAGAGAAGTATAAATTCCATTTAAAGACAAAAATACATAATATAGCTTTAGGAGTGTATATGTATGTTTTTTTTTTCTTTTGCTATACTGCTTTAATTTTAATCACATTAGTGACTCTGGATACAGTGGGTATATTTTATAAGTAAAACAATAAAAGATTTAATTTCAGGTGGCTATGTACTGATTATTTGAAAGATGATGAGTGGAAAAAAGCATATAATATATTTTTTTGTAACTGTATTTCAAAACTGGTTTCCTTTTGCAGTCATTGCTATTTTTCACTGCAGACTCATTCACAATGTTTAATTGTCAGTCACACGAGTTACATTTAATAGAAAGCACTGAAGTACCTTAATATCAAACTAATTAGTTTAGCAGAAATGTTTAAAAGGTTTTAAAATACTGTGACATATGATGTATCAGGACATTCAGAGGTGGATTTTAATATCCTACTTCTGATTAAAGATATATTTTAATGTTATGCTAGAAAAATTAGTTAATAAGTATTTCATATAGAAACACTTAAGTGAAACCTAAGAAACTTACAATTCTTACTGTAGGCTAACTTATAAAATATTGCAAGTTCAGTTAAATAGTTCAGTTAAATGTACACATGTTATGTTACATTTTTGTTTTTTAGTAAAAGAGTCTTTGGGTTGATACTACCATGTAAATATCTTCCAAGGCAGAAATAGGTTTTGCTTTGGTTGGACAGTACATTTTATCTCAGATTGCAGATTGTATCCCAGATTGTATTTTTGACCCTTAAGAGAGTTTTACAAATAACTTTGCAAGCGGTTTTATTAGCTATGGTCTGTGATTTATTCATTGGCAGAATTGATGGTTCAGTGACTTGCTGCTAAAGTAAATGAAGATGAACCATTGCCCTAAAGCCCCCTGAAGATCAGTGAGAGAATGAGTTTTGTTACCACTGATTTTAGCTGCAGGAATCAAGTGCCAAATGGTTCATTTTAATTGCAATAGGTCTAGGAATTTTAAAAAATATCTCATTCATTGTTTTTACCATATGAGTTATAGGAGAGAAGGCCCTGACTCCAGTGAAAATTTGCTATTAGGTTGCAATAAGCTGTTCTTTTCCCATGTCTGAGAAATCAGAAACAATTTTTGCATACTCTGTTAATTTTTTTTTTATTAGGGTTACTAAGACCCTGGAAAGAGAACAATTTCTGACATACATGGCATCAAAAATAATTCATAATTAAGTCACTTTAATCAGTTGGTATAATCTGAACAATATACCCCCTTTGCTTAGCTTATTGCTTTGTAACATAACTGAAATGTTACACCTGTAGTTTATATAATATTTTTTTTCCAAGATGCAGAATTATAAGTGAATACACATATATTGAGTTTGACACAGCTGCCATAGGAGAACTTTGTGAGAGTGTGTGTGTGTGGAATAAGTATTCCAGATTCTAGTATTGTGTTTTTTAGAATTACAGTAACCATTGAATTTTATCTTATTATGAAATGATAATTCTTGATATTTTAAAAATGGAATTTAGGTTGTGCAGTAACATGACAGTCTTAACAAGGTAAATATTTTCATGGTGTGGCTAAAAAGTTCTGAATTATAAGCTGAAGAATACCTATTGACCTATGTGGATGAAGCAGAACAATAATGATTTAGGTAATTTAATGTTAAATAATAGTATAGGTTGTTCTGTATTTCAAGTGTTTCAAAGGGATAGGGCAGTGCATAACTTAAAACTGGAAAACAAAATGCAGGGATTGGCTATCAGTCTAGTGACACGAGAGAGCATTGGTACATTAACATCACTGACAATGCCAATTCATTATCATTGATGGCTAAATAATCTTAGAAATGCTCAGTGGACCTATTAGTTCCTGAACATAAGCAGCTCGTGCTGCATTTCTTCATTAGCTTTAATTGCTATAAATTTTACCTTTTATAAAATCATGCTTTAAAAGGTGAAGTGATCTTTCAGGAACATTAACTCTATAATTTTGTCACAAACAGAAGGTCTTGCACTATGTTTTCTTTTCTCCAGTAGCTAATATCTTAGTCTCAGTCTGTTAGAATTTTATTAATGACCTCTTAATTATTTGAGTTTTAAGAAGTTATTTCTTTAATAGTTCGGATTGAATAACAAAAATATCAGGGTAGGCAGATTTTTAAGTGAAATTATTCCTCACAATTGTATATTCTTCTTAGCAATCTCTTGATTTTCTTGAAGAAAACTAGTATTTTGTGGTAAAATGGATAGAAACAGCAAACAGTACATTGTATTGAATTAAGATCAATGTTAATGTTTCAGTTATTTGGGTTGTTTGGTCTCTTACATAACATTGTAGATGCTTATTAACAATGTGACGTTTTTTTAAGACTTACTTTTAGGGTTGTGCAGTAACAACTCTCAATAAAAACTGCCTTTTAAACTTTAATATAAGTTGACTGGACCTATGTTGATTTTCTTTGAATCTTCAAGATAATTTTAAGGTTGTCTCCCTCCTTACCCCCTATTGGCAGATCTTGGCACCAGTATATCATGGATTTGAGTTAGTTTAATAAAAGAAGCTAGGTGTGTTTTAAGTTTTTCCTGTTGTGTAGGTAGAATTCAGAGTTTAGGATCTAAGTTCTGTCTGAGCCAGATACCTGCTTAGGCCATGGTAAAAATTTCAAAAATGTATTGCTGTGCACTTTGTGTTTTAAGTGCACGTTTTAGATAATGGCATTAAAGAGCCATTTGTTTTACTTTCACTTTTAGGAGGAGCAGTTTCTTTGCATAGTAGAATTTCTTAACAACATATTTCTTACATCCAGGTATAATTTGAGAGGAATTTTAGAGAATATAGGAATATTTTATTTAGGCATTTGGTGGATAATTAACATGAAAGTTACCCTGGGKTTGATGTAGGGCTTAGTGGGGGTAAAAATAAATAATGGAAAGCATCCTTATATAGTAGTTAATAATTTATTTCAATAATTTTATGTTTAAAAATAGGCTTAATACATGTTTTTACTAAATTTATTATTTCTCCCTTTGTTTTTTTAATAGTCAAGAGCTTGAAAAGATGAATAACCTAAAAAGTCATTTTTAGACACCATGTTTTGTTAATTCTTATAAGTTTATTTTCTGGGTATATATAAAATAGTATAAATTATACCTCCGATAGTAGTATTTATGCAGTTCCTTGTGGCTTAGTAAATTCCTTGCTTAACATTCATTTCATTTATTGATCTCCTTAGCTTTTAGAATTATTTAACTTATGTTTGTTATCTCCTTTTACAGATGATAGATTTGATAATAAAAGTATTTTTAGTGATAAATTATGCTACTAAGAATGGTGGATCACTACTTTTCTTTTAACTATACCTTTAAATTTTTTTTTTATTATTCTCTTAGTTTCATTGCACTCTCCCCCAGTTTGTTTTCTTTAGCATGTAATGAAAGTATGTATTTCCCCCACTAGCCTCTCTTCTGTTTCTCTTCTGTTTTTACATTCTTTTAAAAAGTTGCTTGTCTAGTATCTTAGCTTCTGGTATTCAACGCCACATCTCTTTCTCTTTTTTTCATTCTTCCTTCTTATAAGTGTCATTTAAAATGATTTTACTCTTCCCCCTCCACTTTCCTGCATGTGTTGATAAGTTATTGCACTTACTTGAGTGGTTGTAAATTGATTATGTTTGTATAATAGAAAGTGTGTAGAAATGTAAAGATTATATAGTCTTTTTCAGAAGGATAAGAGGGGTAAAATTGATCAAACCAAGCTATTTTTGTTTTTCAGTGTTATCTTTAAAAATTACTGAAAACTAGTAATAGGCCCGATTTCCTTAAACATAGGAAATGATACCTAAGTTTTGTGAGCCATTTTTCAGAAGCCTAAATCCCTTATATATGATTTAGGGATCATGTTATTTACTGATGAATTTCCCTGTGTCTATTCTTGATTTGTGTGTATGGCATTAAATAATTGAATAGGATTTACTGAATCAGGAGAGATTAAGGGCATTTTCTAAATGTGTCACTTCTGGGTTTATGAGAAGACATTTTAAAATTGTGTATTAATGTGCTTAAGAAATGTTTATTCCTAGTTGGTTTAAGAAACCTTAAATAGGAAGTTAGTAATTCAGGAAAACTCTTCTTTTGTGTGTGTGTGTGTGTGTGTGTGTGTGTGTGTGGCATTACCTAGTTTTTGTGCATTAGAAGGGATCTCTATGTAGATGATTATAATGTCACTTTCTGACCTTTGCAGCTTGAATAATTGTAAATCATTGCTTCATAACGTGTCAGAGAATGTCTGTACTAGGCAATTAAATGGCAGAATATAATAGACCAAATTATTGCCTGTCATGTTTTCAACAACACAGTTAGTATTTGAGTTACACTTAATCATTACGTGCATTAGCAACTTCATTGGAATCCAGCTTCAGGCTGAGCATGAAATACATTACATTATTTAAACCTCTAATGGTACAAGTCATTTATTTGTGTTGAAGTGTACAACATGCAGAGTTTCATAAAGCAAGGAACACTTGAGAGCTTAATTTATCCAAATCAAAGTCTAAATGCAGATAAACACAAGTGGCAAAAATTAGTAATTTTTATAGGCTGGAAATATTTAAAAATACATGGTTGTGTGTAATTGTAGGCAGCAGGAATAAATTAAAATCACTATTTTTAGTCTGCTTCGAGAACTAAAGCTGTGCATACCTAAATCATTAAAAGCACCATGGAA